GAAGGAAAAAAACAAAAATGACACATTTTGGTTTCCATAGCAACCATCCTAGCACCCTGAATCCCAAATGTTTTGTTGTAAATTACTGACTAGAAACATTGATACTTTAAATTTATTACCACACCTTAAATGGAGGTGGAAGCAAAACTGTATATATTGTTCATGCTAAATGTGTATACATATATAATTTGCCTTCAAAAATATAATGAAAAATGACCTCTTCTTCTGCGGTTGTGACAATATTCAGCCAACATATTATTTATATATGACATTGCTGTTATGTTTTTTAAGTATCATGTTTCTGAAAAATATTAACAAATATCATTAAATGATTCAGAATGCATGCAAAGTAGTTGTTTTTACAATGCTAAATTTCCCAAAATGTACGAGAAACTCATGGACTTGGTTGCCATGGCAACCGTAGCCTAGCAACACTTTGGGAGGCATTTTTCTTACTTGCTCACCTAATAATATGGTCAGCTGGGAGGCTAATTTTCAAAAAAATCTAAGACTATGCGTGCCGACCCCCCTATATGAAATGGTTGGTAGTTACAAAGAATTGCTCTTAATTAATATATTATGTTAATTTTTTACCATTTAGATCATATCCTATATTTAATATTTTATGCTATTTATTTTACCAGCTTTCTAATCATGCTTAGTTTACATTTTTATATGATTTCGCTTTAATATCAAGCTTATCATGCTCATTACTACCATGCTTAATTGCAGTGCTTCATGTTGTGTTGTGCAACTTATTGCATGCTTATTATGTACTTATGTTATGTCTTGTATGTCGGTTAAAAGCTCATTAGAGCTTATATTTTGTCTTTGTTTATATACTATGCCGACTCTAAATAAAGCTTATTCATTTATTTATTATTAATTTATTCAAGTGATTATTAGCGTGCTTTTAGTAAGTCCTTGTCTATTGAATAATAATGTATACAATATTATTGGAATGTACAACAAACCACACTAACAACCATCACATGGTTCTTCCGAACATACATACACAGGCAACAAACCACACTAACAACCATCACATGGTTCTTCCGAACATACATATACAGGGAACAAACCACACTAACAACCATCACATGGTTCTTCCGAACATACATACACAGGCAACAAACTACACTAACAACCATCACATGGTTCTTCCGAACATACATATACAGGGAACAAACCACACTAACAACCATCACATGGTTCTTCCGAACATACATATACAGGGAACAAACTACACTAACAACCATCACATGGTTCTTCCGAACATACATACACAGGGAACAAACTACACTAACAACCATCACATGGTTCTTCCGAACATACATATACAGGGAACAAACTACACTAACAACCATCACATGGTTCTTCCGAACATACATATACAGGGAACAAACTACACTAACAACCATCACATGGTTCTTCCGAACATACATACACAGGGAACAAACCACACTAACAACCATCACATGGTTCTTCCGAACATACATACACAGGCAACAAACCACACTAACAACCATCACATGGTTCTTCCGAACATACATATACAGGGAACAAACCACACTTACAACCATCACATGGTTCTTCCGAACATACATATACAGGGAACAAACTACACTAACAACCATCACATGGTTCTTCCGAACATACATATACAGGGAACAAACCACACTAACAACCATCACATGGTTCTTCCGAACATACATACACAGCGAAACAGTTTAAATTTCAAAAATGTATGGAGTGCTTCGAATTGTCATTAAGTAACGTCAGCTTTTGTTTTTGTGTTTTTGTTTTTGTGTTTGTTATTTTTAGATATTTTAAAAACAAATATTTTTTTTTATATTTTCGGATACTTTTATTTGGGTTTCAGTTTCATCATTATTAGTAATTAAACTCATCATAGATACCAGGATTAAAATTTTGTACGCAAAATAATGCCATACGTCTAAAATTAACTCACCGCTTAATATAATCCAAGAAAACCCCCTTGTCTGTATCTTGTAATGACATTATCAAGTGGTTGATGATTGATATTCTTGATAATCTTACAATTTTGTAAAATGTTTGCATGCGCCTCTTCGTTTCGTCTACATAAGTCTCATCAGTGACGCTCTTATGAAAAAAACCCAAATAAAGGACGAAGTTGAAGAACATTGAAGACCCAAAAATTGGAAAAGGTTTTCCCAAATACAACTAAGGTAATCTATTCCTGGGGTAGACAATCCTAAGTACTTCGAAAAATTCTAAGTTTTGTTAACAGTTAATTTATAGTTATGACCATATCAATGATAATTCATGTCAAGACAGAAGTGCTGACTATGTTGGGCTTCAGTTTCATTATTAGTAGTAATATGATAATTAATGAGACTTAACAGTAAATAGGTCACGGATAAGGGACGGTGAAAGAAAAATGTAACATAAATGTTGATAAAGTAGTTAAACTAACACAATATTGATTAGACGAGGTTATATTTGGATCTCCCTAATAACTAGACTGACACACGAAACCGTTAATTCTGACTGAATATTTCCTTCCTCAAAGATGGAAATTTATTCTTTCAGGTACATCTCGACTTAATCATCACCCAAAACACACAAAGAGAAAAACCAATGAATTCCGAGGGTTACCCATCAATGTTGACATACTTATGTTGGTTGTTTTGTTGTACATACTTATGTTGGTTGTTTTGTTGTACATACTTATGTTGGTTGTTTTGTTGTACTGTTTTGATGTTGACATACTTATGTTGGTTGTTTTGTTGGACTGTTTTGATGTTGACATACTTATGTTGGTTGTTTTGTTGGACTGTTTTGATGTTGACATACTTATGTTGGTTGTTTTGTTGTACTGTTTTTAAAGTGCCGTTTTAGACACATACTGGCTTTCTAAATTGTATAATGTGAGAGTTTGGTTACATGAATTTCTTGAAAATGTGAATACAACTAATCGTGTTATGCAGATTAAGCAAAATAAATGCGTAATAAAAATGCATTATTCTGACTATCAGCACTTATCAAACACTATGTGATTTTATTATTTATAGCAACATAGTCATCGATCCTAAGCCCCAGTCACACTGTCACGTTTCGACAGCTAGGTTTTAGTACGTTTAGAAATGCTACGTTTCATGTAATTTTTTTGTCATTTTTTGTCATTTTTTAACGGTCCGTACGTTTTACTAGGTTTATGCCACGTTTTGTTACGTTCTTCTACGTATTGTTACGTTTTGTTACGGTTTGTTCGGTTTTTCGATAAATACACGGGGCATGTTCTACTAGGTATTAATACGTTTCATTACGTATAAACTATGTTTTACCACGTTTCACTACGTATAACAAGGGTTCAGTACGTTTCACTACGTATAACAAGGGTTCAGTACGTTTCACTACGTATAACAAGGGTTCAGTACGTTTCACTACGTATAACAAGGGTTCAGTACGTTTCTAATTCGGTTCACCACGGTTGAAGTACGTTTTCGCACGTTTTCCTACGGTTTTGCACGTTTATTCTTCACAGTATCACGTATCACTACGCTGTGATCATTGACCTATGAAACGGCGTCATTAATTAATTAATAAAATTCAGAAAAGACAGAGATGCAGAGAGGGAGCAAAGTAACTACAGAAAATCAAGAGACTTCAACAGAGGAACACTTTATTAATATCAATACATCTGTCATTTCAATTAGATTATTTAATTCCTATTTTATGATCTAAAAATTTAGATTTTTTTTTTGTACTCCAAAAGCAAGATTTTTTTGTTTTGGGTTTTTTTTTTCAGATAACATTTTTGTTGAGTGGATACGTGAATCATAAAAAAATTTCAAAGCCTTGGTGGGAACCTTGTAAATGCTTTCCCTTTTATGTTAATTGCTCTTTTGGAATGTTTTACGTTGCACATTGTCGTTTAAATTCCAATTTCCCTCCTACCGGCATTTGATTTATCTTTTTATTGTGTTTCAAACCAGACCGTTCTGATGAGGACCAGAGGCAGAGGAAGGGGTCGTGGAGGGCGTGGTAGAGGCCGTCGCCTGATAATGAAGTAACTAATGCAAGTGATATAAATGAGCAAACACAAAATATTAATTCTGACCAACAAAATAGTGAAACTGAATAGCTAGCTAATGCTGATAACAAGAAGCGCAAAAGAAGCAAGCCATTAGAAATACCACAAGAAAAGCAGGATGAGGTGGCAGATTGGTCCAGAGAAAACGAACTCCTATACAACAAAGGTACATGTATTTGTTTGATATAATTGAAAATATAAATGCGGAATATAAATGTCAAAAGATTTTAACCCAACCAGTAGATATAGATAAACTTAACAGAAAATGATTTGTATGGTACATATCACACTGTGTATCATTTACTTAGGAACTGGGGTTCTTTTATCTTAGAAAAAATAGCATTACCGAACGGGGCAACAGTACCCCGTACAGTTATGTTATCCTTCCTTGAAACTCCGAACATAACCCCAGTACCTAATTCCTACGTCGATGATACACAGTTGATCAACGTTGTTTATATGGTTATGTAATTTTTCACAGGGAGTCACTGGTCAACAATCTGCATTTAATGTTCCCAAGGGCAGCTTCTGTAATCATCAAGTTATGTTGGGTATCTACCTGCCTGGCAGCACCAATACCAGCTACCTGGACAGGAAGTCGCCTTTCAGCAAAACCGGTTTCAAACTCAAGCCGAAATTGTACCAGTAAGAACACATGCAGCTCCTCCGATTACATGCACACAAGTATTGCCAGTGTAATAATGCAATCGGATTCAATGAACGTCGATTCAACTTCATCATCACTTTTCTCTTTATAAACTTATTCTTTGTAGAAACCGTAGAGCTGTTATGTCATAGGAATGACATTAAAAGACGACACTATTATGTACAGTGATTATGCAGTTTCAGACAGTTTTTTCCGAGTAATTTGACAGTTTTCTTTAAAATTGAAAGTGTTTATTGTTTGAATGCTTGTTTTGCTGTGTGAGTTGTTTTGTTTTCATTTTGATTGGTCGGTCTTGCTGTATTAGTGTTATATTAAAATTTTCAATTTATCGAAAATATTGAATTGATAAATTTAAAATTTTAATACATTAGTATGTTGACCTATGTGTGCCATTGTTTTTAAAAGATCAGTAAACTGGTATTAATAGAATTTCTTTAAGTTTAATAACATGTATCATAGTATTTTTTGATACATTTGAAGTTAAATAAACAAAAGTAAAATCATATACTTATCATTCAAATGATATAATGGATTCGACATTATTAGGCTCTTGCTTTAAAGTTGAAAGTAAGCATTGAAATCGATTTGCAAGTATCCCAAATGCATTTTCAGCAACTCTTCGTGATCGCGATAACCTGTAGTTAAAAACTCTTCTTCAAGGGTTATGTTCCTCCTAGAAAAAGGCTTCATTAGCCAACTTCTGAGGGCGAACCCGTCGTCACCAACGATGAAGTACGGAATGTAATTGTCATCATTCGGAAGAGGCTCTGCTTGTGGTATGTTAATATTCTCATTAATTACATGATTTTTTAAGTCGATTGGTTCCAAATTTGTGCATCAGAGCAAGCGTCTGGTACGCCAACGTTAACCCATTTGAATTTATAATTAGCGTCTAGCAAGCCCATTAGAACTATAGAATTGAATCCTTTATAATTAAAAGTATTTAGACCCACCACCAGCCTTACATTTAATAGCAACGTGTTTCCCATCTAGTGCACCTTTGTTTAATAACTTTTATATCATATTGTATACATACATAATGTGTTTTTATATAAGCTGGAATTTCTTTTTTTCTAGTTGTAGATCATACACTTGTATTAATTCTGACAATTTGTTATATTATCAATGTTTATAATATCTCTGTACCATGGATGTTGGTTTGTGAGAATAAAGATATATATACCTAGCACATGATGAAACTGACACATATCACTAAATTCTTGCAAAATGGCTCGCCATTCAGCTTCTTCCGTAGGTGTGTTGATAACATCTTCAGCATACTCGGAAATAATTGTTTCACAGACTTGTACTACAACAAGATTGGATATCGTGTTGTGCGGCACCCCAAATAAATACATAAGTGAATGATAACTGTCTCCTGTAGCGAGATGTCGAAGGGTTATTGCTACTTTAAGACCAACTGGCAATGACTTTAGTTACCACATATCTTTCTTTTGTAGCCCTGGTGTTAATCTATTAACAACTTCCTGAAACACGGTAAGCAAAGATTAAAAACATGAAGGCGCCCTAATGAAAATATTACTGAAAACTGAAATCTCTCGCCTAGGTTTTTCCTGGGCATGTGGATTAATGTAGGATACAAAAATTGTCTATAGGAATTCTGTGAAGTACAAAGAACATACTTTAAATATTTTTAAAAAATGTTGCTTTATTAAAAAAGCCTGATTTATAAATTCCTAAAAACATTGAAAAAATAAAGAACAATTTCATTAAGCTCAGATGGAAAAATTCAGTATATCTGTAACTATTATTATCTATACAGAGTCTAAAGGATATGGCTGTACTGATATTTGCAGGCGATTTGAAAATCTACCCTGACCACCATACTACATGTAAACGACATATTTGAAGTTCTAGCAAAATTCAGTTGACTATGGACACTTTATCACAAGACTTGTTTCAACATCATTGCAATCTCTATTTTCAATGTTTTTCTGGTTGTTTGTCGTCCCTTCAATGACGTCATCTGTCTTTATTTCCATTTCTTCAATCTGTGTTTTTTTAACTAACGTTCGCTCAAGAAGCACACAAAGTGATGACGCTATAAAAAGTCCACCAATTGTATAAAACGAAGCTTTCCAATTACCAGTATAATCTTCTAACCACCCTTAATAAAGTATGCAACAAGGGTTAATAAAGATTTTAATTTTAAACATATTATATTATTATTATTTTTTAATGTTTAAAACTTCTGCTAACATTAATACATGTAATCGATACATGGTCCGAATAGTTTAATAATCGGTGCATTTATAGGTTTAATGCCAAACAGATCTACTATTTCTTAATATTCATGTCATCCTTTCAAAAAATACGTTTTTGTCAGATGCTGTATTATTTGGGTAGTCCGAGATTGCTCCTAGGTCTGGCGGCCCTGAAAAATGGATAAGAAATCGAATGATGTATGATTTATCTACTTGAAAATGTTCGAGATAGACACTTGCCATCCAAAGTCGATGTCGGCAATTTCCATGTTTTCTATATGAAAAAACTCATCATTTTTATTTGAAGATACCAGGCTTATAATAATTTTGTACACCATCAGACTCATCGGTGACTCTTGAATCAAAACAGTTGGACGGCCAAATCAAATACGAAGTTGAATAAAAATAAGAAAATGTGGTATGGGTGCCAACAAGACAACTCTCCATCCAAGTCACAATGTGTAAAAAGTAAACTATGGCAAGCCGTTCTCGTCAAAACTACGTGTAAACCCTTTTTTTCGAAAAAATTACACACTGAGAATTAAAAAAAAAACACACTGAGATTTAAAAACCTAAAACAACACACTGAGACATCGAAATTACATACTGAAATTTTTAAAATTACACACTGAGATTTAAAAAAATGAAAAACACACACTGAGAATTTAAAATTACATACTGAGATTTAAAAAGACACACTGAGATGAAATAAATTGAAAAGCACACTTTGAGAATTGTTAATTACACACTGAGATTTCAAAAATACACACTTAATATGCACATAACTAATGAATATTCATGAGATGAATAATTCAACAGATTAATATCTTGGGTCTCCTGAACTCTTGTCATTGTAATGAAATGCGGTTCTTTCAACCAACATTCGTAATAAATTTCAAGACTTAACATCGTTTTTTGCTAACTCATATTCATAAGTTTGTTGCCTATAATTCATATTATTACTAACAGTGTTTTGGGATTTTTGCTTATAACTGTTTAAGTATTGGTCCCTTTTCAGAAGTCTTTTAACTGATATCCTGATTTTGCAAGGTAATCTTTTATATTTTTGTTACGTTTATATGCTATAATAGGCACTTGGGTAAAAATTTCACTGCATTGTTTGTCTTTTTGCAGATTGTTCCAATGTTTTCTTATAATTTTAATAAAGTTTTTCACCATTTGGTTATATTTTGTAATGAGAGTAAGTGGGTATTTTTCTTGTTCTATTGGTCTTTAATAACGTAGTTTTTCTATACGTTGTATTTCTTCTGTTTTTTTTTATAAATCATTTGGCGCCAAATTGAAGGACTAACGACTTCTGTCCCCTAGTTGTTTTAAGCTTGTAATAGATACAGATTAAGTATGTTAATTAGATATGTGTACATAAAAAGTGCGCACAAATATTAGTGTGTAATTTCAAATTATCAGTGTGTGTTTTTTCAGTTTGTTCCATCTAAGTGTGACTTTTTGAAATCTGATAGTGTAATTTTCAATTCTCAGTGTGTGTTTTTCATTTTTTGTAATCTCAGTGCGTCTTTATGAAATCTCAGTGTGTATTTTTTATTCTCAGTGTGTGTTTTTATGTTTTTTAATCTCAGTGTGTTTTTTTTAATTTATTCTCAGTGTGAAAATTTTTCGAAAAAATGGTTTAAACATAGTTTTGACGAAAACGGCTTGCCATAGTTAACCATTATAGGTCATAGTACGGCCTTCAACACGGATCCTTGGCTCACACCGAACAGCAAGCTATAAAGGGCCCAAAATGACTAGTGTAAAACAATTCAAACAGGAAAACCAACGGTCTAATCTATATAAAAAACGAGAAACGTTTAAGAACATTTAAAACCGAAAATTCCAAACAATGCCAAACAGGGTTTAGGCAATCTATAACTGGGCGATGAAAAACCTAAGTGTTTCGACTAATTCAACTTTTTATAAACAGTAAATGTACACAAAGAAGTGCTGACTACTGGTTTGCGCTCTGACGTGTACACAACGGCTCTAACAAGTCATGAAAAAGTCCGCCAGACGTCAGAGCAGTCTTGAAATATACGAGGGTGTGGATGGGGTTTACAGAATAGAGAATTTTTGGCATAAAAAAAAAAGAATAGAGAAAAATGGACAAAAATATAAAGAATAGAGAATAATGGGGTGCTTAAATATAAAGAATAACTGCAAAAAAAATAATTATTTGGTAAAATTATACTGATTACAGAAAAGAACAATGTCCAGAATACAGTTATCATGTAATTACAGAATAGCCATCATTTTTAAAGATAAAGAATAATGGGCGAAATACAGAAATGAAGGACCCCCTTCCATACCCTCATACATTTGGGTTGAAAATGAATTTTAAATAAAACACTTACCTAGACCAGGCTGTCCAATTAAACACGCCGAGTTGGTAAACAAAGTAGATAATGGATAAGCTATTGGTAGAATTTTCAATCCTAATGAGGAGACTACCAGTAACGGTCTTAATGAATGTAAAATTCCAGGAAAAATTCCTACAGTCACTGCATAGATGATATTGATAGGCATGCTCCGGAAAAATGTCAACGCAATAGCACAAATCCCACCCATAAACATTGTCAAGATAAACATCGTTTGAACACTAAGCCATCGTTTATCAATAATGATACCGGAAAAAAATCTAACAACAAATTCCGTAGCTCCAATTACAGTCAAAACAATAACTGCGTCATCTTTTGTAAACTGCTGGCTTTGAATGTGTGGCGGAAGAATCATAAAGATTGAGGAATATCCAACTAACGCAAACGACATGGCGAAACAATACAATAAAAAGGATTTGTTTCTTAAAGCAACAGAATATGATCTAAACATATCAATGATTTTGTCTATCGCATACGTCAATTTACTCTTTTTACTCCCTTCATTTGTGTGGGATAAAAGTTGTTTACTGTCAGGACTATTGTTTTGAGCACTTTGACGCATGAAGCTCCTTGGCTGTCTGAAGAAACTCCCACCAACACAAATGTTGAGTAACAAACCACCAAGAATTAACATAGCGCCATGTATTCCATAATGATCTATCAACTTCCGGTACAAAGTAGGATATATCAAACTTGACAATCCAAAGGATGCAGTAAGAATTCCGTTAGCGAATGCTCTTCTCTTATCAAAATAAAAGTTTATTATGGATAAAGTAGGTGGGTAAGATAGTCCAAATCCGACACCTACAAAATAAATGAATATGTTATTCACATGATACCCATACATAAGTTAGTCAGAAAAATAAATCTGTTGAAGTACCCGTCTCTGTAAGAATCATGAAGAATGTGATTCACGACATGTCACAAAATCAATAGTTTAGTAAGAACCGGACAAACAACATGCTGCCGAAATTCGTTTTCGATTTTTTACGTTCCGATATCTGTTGAAAAAAAACGATATAGTCCTTCGAATGTCATAGTGATAATGAGATATGAAAAAATGCTCTACGCTTGGTTCTCCCCAAAATGTAATTGGCTTATAGAAACATATTTACATTTTATTGATCAAATAGCCAGCAGTTTTATGGGTTGGAATTTTCAATCGGAAAAATTTCAAAAAGAAGACGGGAAAAGTTATCGGTTTAGAATTCGGTAACTTCTAGTCACGTGGTGAGGGACACCTTCTGTAATACCTGCCTAATGATGCATTTATCTATATTTGCTGTTGTCTGTTGAATTGAGGGAGGGTTGAGTGCTAAAAAAACACGGAAAACCTTCCACATTTTCATGGCCAAAGTCACGATCTGCTTCAGATTTCGTCTGTAATGATCATATCTTAAAGTTTCTGTACTTTAAGGTGTTTCCTTGAAATCCAAAGTGATGCTATCTGCGTCATTTGGCTTGTGGTATTTGAGTACTAGTTGCTTACATCTACGTCATTTGGCTTGTGGTATTTGAGTACTAGTTGCTTACATCTACGTCATTTGGCACGTGGTATTTGAGTACTAGTTGCTTACATCTACGTCATTTGGCACGTGGTATTTGAGTATTAGTTGCTTACATCTACGTCATTTGGCACGTGGTATTTGAGTACTAGTTGCTTACATCTACGTCATTTTGTCTTTGGTGGAATGTTGTCTTATAGGCAATCAAACCACATCTTATTTTTTTATATCGTGACTGGAATTATCATTGTTATTTTAGTACTAATAATACTTATATATCTAAAAACTATGGTGGCCGGTTAAGGCCATTTCGCGTTTTCGCCCTTCATTTTCTATAGGGCGAAAACGCGAAGACGAAAAAGCGAAAACGCAAAATAATTTTTCTTTCCGATTTCGCGTTTTATATTATGATTTTTTTTCCGAGACAAGTACGTATGTCTTACAGGGGCATTAGCAGCATGTTCATCGATTTAACTCAAATTCTCATATTTGATTTATAACATACTAAAACGTATATTCAAATAACAAAAAAGTCTGTAAACAAGTAACAATACATGTACTCGATAATATATATCAGCATTCCTAACGCGAAAACGTGAAATCACGAAAACGAGAAAACGCGAAATAGCGTAAAACGCGAAATCGCGTAAAGGCAAAAAGGCGAATTCGAAAACACGAAGTCGAAAACGCGAAATCGGAAAGAAAAAATATTTCGCGTTTTCGACTTCACGGTTTCGCGTTTTCGCCCTATAGAATATGAAGGGCGAAAACGCGAAAACGCGAAATGGCCTCAACCGGACACCATACAAAACAGCAACGTGGAGACAATGATTGTACACTATACGTACACTAGAAGTATCATTTTATAAGAGTATGATATTCGCAATACACAGAATCTAATACACATTTTATATAAGAACTGTTTGATAATTTAAAAGAAAAAAGGTACATTCCTTTTCATAATCGGTTTTTGGGGTAAAGATTGCATTCATGCAATCAGAACCTTTCTGGGGCTGGATTGATAGTTATCCATTTTTCAGCCATTATCACTACTTTTGAGATAACAAAAGTATATAGTGTATTAAACACAACATTCTACAAATCTTTCCATGAACATTTAAAAATTGACCAGTGAAATCTATACTCAGATATTCATTATAAGACAAGTTACAAACTAATGTGTATGTGTATTTCCATACTTGTTAAGAAAGGTTCATAAATTATGCATGGTGCAGGTATCTAGTATCTGTTCTAAAAATATCAATGATGTGATCATTAAAGCAATATTTAAAATTGGAGGTATCTTCCTTTGTCCATAATTGTAGTTGATCCAACTCAAGTCATGGTACTGCCTTCCATGGCCAATGCCTTATACAATGCAATGTTTAATTGTTTGCTCACACTACAAAATAAATTCAATCTTTAACCTTCAGTGCTCACAAGCACTTATATAGTTCCATTGACATATATCCCACATTTTCTTTATTCATATCAAAGAGAATATAGTTTTATATATATATAAGTCTAAATTGAAAATATATATATACCTAATAAACAGCTATACGTGAGATACAGCATATCTATATCGTGAGTCATAGAACTGGTTACCATACCAAGGCATGAAACCAAGCCGCCAATCATAGTACACCATTTAAATGAAAAATGCATGCTAAGCAATCCAGATATTGGACCTGCAAAATTAATGTATACTTAACCACAACAACAGCAGTAGCAGCATCAACAAAAACAACAAAACGCCAACACCATGCATTTCTATGTAGTTAGAATTTTTTAGTTATTAAAAGAACATGGGATTGATCAAACCTTATTTAATACAATGTTTTGAAATCAAGATTATCAATGTATACAAAATTGTACTTGTTCGGTAATCTTATTTTTTGCCATATAAAGACAAAAAGAAAATTCAATTCAAACGAGGAGATCCAAAATTTTTATATTTTCGAACATGAAAATCTAAATGTCCCATGAAAATAGTGGATTGTTTCTTGTTTTATGGAGAATCGAGAAGCGAGACACAAATATAGTATTGAAACTTCACTTGTACACAAAAACGTTGAAAGCAATTTCAATTGAATGATGCAAGATGTCTATGTTAATATTATATTTAGTATAAAGGGGCAAATTATTGGATTGGCAATACGTAAAATGTCGTTCTTATATTATTTTATTGTTAAGATAATTGCTCAAAACTGAAAAAAAAAAAATGCAATTTCGAGCATTTGCCTTTTTTCGTGTAAATGGGGTGTCTTCCACCATCTTGCACTTTAAAATAGAAGACAACAATCGGTCTAGATCTTTAATGAAACATGCAAATTTTGAAAGTGAACGGTAATTCATTTGTAAGACTTTTTACCTTAATGAGAAAAATATATGTCTTTTATCTTATAAATACCACTGTTTTAACAAAAACAGACTATTTTATTATTCGGTTTGTTTTCTTGAAATTAGCCAAATAAGGGCAAATAAGAGTATCTAACTTTTATAAAGGAATGTGCTGTAAATGTACCTATTTTGTTTTTAGCAAGAGAACGAGTTTCGTGACCAAAATTTATATCTATATTTTCTGAAACCACATTATTAGAGCTATATTCTCATTTATCTTAAAAATATATCTTTTAGCTTTCGTTCTTTCACACAAAAATGGCTTTTCCATAAATAAGCTACACAAAATCTGACAATTCTGCACAACGTGTAAATAATAGCTGAGGGACACATATATAAGAAAAAAAGCATTACGTAATCTACAATTTGGTAAAATATTAATTTGGACCCCTATCTACCTTACATATAGTTTAGAAATAAGACTATACGGTTTTATTATTCCCGAAGTACGCATGTTAAGCTGTGTTACTGGTTTATCTTTAGAAAAGATCGTAAGACTATTTGTAAAATAACCACTCAGGTGAAACAAATACACGATTAATAAGAAAAATACAGAAGAAGAACGTAAGTGAAATGTGAAAAATCCAAGCTATTGATCGTATTCATCATGATAAGCTTAAGGCCAATAATATTCAATTTTTGAAAGTAAAATATTTTAGTGCAAGAACTACACTAGTTTCATAAATTAAATGTTAAATCACAAAATCCTGTAATCTGCTGCTACATTTTAATACTGTATGATATTTGAGGTAACAATACTTCCATACTTACCGGCGAGGGAATTTACAAATAACAGAAGACTTCCTAGAAAGGCAGTGTTTCCAGCACTTTTATCATAGGTTTGGAGAAGTTCTGCATATAAAATCCCAAATGTTCGCATTATTCCAGATATGAGAAAGAAATTTAGAAACGAAGCTGCAAGATAAAAACCAAAAAAATGTTATCTACAGTTTTGTAAGCAAATTGTCGTATAATAATAATGAGCGCTAGTTATAGTTTATTTTCGACGTAATTTATTTTTGATAGCATAATTTGCAATCAATTTTCACAAGACGACACAATTGTTATGAGCCCACTTTAAAGTTTTACTTAGAAATCGCGTTTACGCATTTTTTTTTACCAACGAATAACGGGTATTTACTTATTTCTAATGTTGGAAGAAATTGGTGAACTATTTCATAAGGTTCAATTGTTTATGAATGTCATGGATAGACTATTTTATTTTCATTTCTTGACTTTGTGTTACCGCATTGTTGTTTGAAATCTTTTGTTTTTGTCCAATTTTATCTATTTAGGTATGTTGTAGTGCTCTGTTATTTGGATCGTTTGTTCGCTTTTAGTCATATTAGTATCATCCCGAAACAAGATGAGCATGCATTCGATAAGCTTCAAAAGATTAACAGGGATATAAAGTGGATATATTTTTTTATCATTGTTATTTGAATTTGTTTTCTCGTATGTCCTGTCTATTTGTAATAAATTATTAACGTTGGCACCAACAATCGTGTGTTATTAGCAATGTACAGTAAACTATTCATATCCGTATACTGAAAATAGAACAATGCTTCCAATTTTTAACCCGCTACCACATTTGTATAAATATAGCAAATTAATGTCCATTTATTGCTATGTGAAACTTTCAAAAAATGGTACGAATAAGAATAAGATGAAATAGGAGTGGTATAATTTTCTATACCTTTTCTCAACTGTTTCGGTTCTTATATATCCTTGGCTTTCAAATATTCGGCTTTGGGCGTTCATGATGAAGGTAAATCCAGAATAGCGCTTCGGACGCATGAAATTTATAACATGATGTTTTCATATTTTTTTTTAGGTAAGAGAGATTCTGTGAAAATTATATCTAAAAGCAGTCAGTGGTATAGACTGCGGAAACAATATATCTTCTCCTTTTGTATAATATGGCAAACTCTGTGTTATTTCTATGGGAAACCCACAAAACATTCCGGGTCAGGTGCAATAATCCATTGGTACTCCATGTAAAGATTCTTTCAAAGATTTACTGAAATCAAGCTACTGGTTATGGAGAAGTTGTGTATGGATGGATGAATAGGTTGGTGTTTAACGTCCAGTGGTAAATATTACTTGTATTATATGTACAAATAAGGTGAGAACATCTTGATGTGATATGAATATGAACCCAGACTAAGCCAGTAAGACATAGCACCTTACCTTCTCCTAAATGCTACAGGGTTAGCGGATACAAACTGCGAATGGAACAACGAAAAAAAAACTGACCATACGAACGGACACAATTAATGATCAGAGTACATCCCGACTTCAGTAAATGGCCTGCATATAATTGAACTTACCTCCTAATACTACCCATGAAAATCCTCTGTCTGTATACTGTGATGACATTCTGTGTAATAAGTAAACACTTGACTGTAGATCTGATTGACAATCTTATAATTTCTGTATTTTGACCACAAACTTCAGTTTTAGTGTCCTAAAATTTAACTCCGTATTCCTCTCACATTGCACCAGTTATTGGTCCATATCAAAGTAAACACAAACATTGAACGTAATGCACATATATATACAAATCAGTAATTTTATCCACATAAACTGAAATATATATCTGCTTAATTGTTGACGTGCAAAAACCTTTGACCTGCATTAAGTCTATATAAATAAGTATATCTCAATGTTACACACAGGGTTCGACACAAGTAAATGTCATTCAACTTTTTAAAGTGGAATTATTGATAGATAGAATAGTAAGTAAAAATGATGAACAAATAAATAAATAAAAAATAAATAATTTAGTATGACATTGTTCTTACACTATAAAATGAAATCAGAAGAAAAACAATAACTTAGCAAAAATATCTATAAAGATTTTAACCATGGCCAATATTCAGGCCTGATATTTTTCTTTCACTCACATGGCCAAAATGGCAAAATTGCTGGGATTTGAATATTTAGGAGTCTGAATAATACGCTTTAAAGATTAATTAACAACTGTACTTATGCGATATGCATAGAATCAGCTAATAAACGCTATACATTGTTGTTGAAACAATGTTAAGATAAAACTGTTTGTTTTACCAAAAGGGCAAATTTTGCTTTTTTATTCATAAGAATATGAAAAGGATTGAGCCACGGGCACAGCCTTTAAAAGCCCTGTCCACATTACATGTACAAGGTATACATCCTACATTAACAACTGTATTTAAAATAGTAGAACTACAGAAGATTAACACACACAATTAAGTACGTATTTACAGTGTTAATTTCATAATGTATATTATATTCAAGTGTGTAGGCAATTAATCATCAGTTACTCAAGTACCTTGTCAAATATAAGTCTTTAGAAATACATGCAGTCAGGATTCTACTTCGTCAAAATTATCTCCCCATTACGCCACCTAATTTTTATAATCGTAAAGCTCTTGAAAACCGATAAATTTATCCACATAGTATCATTACGATCCGTATATGCCAGTTGTATTTTAAAAGACAAATGTATCTACTAGCTATTGAGCAGCATTTAATGTACTTTTATGCATTTGGTCAACTTAAAACTATTGTCTGATCGGTTGTCAGGGGGAATTTTCGAAAGTTCAAAAGTATTTAAAATTCTAATTAAATATTTCGTGGAAGGGCAGACTAAAAATTTTCAGAGGTTGAAGACTAATAACCCTTGATAACACACACAAAAAGTGAAGTTTTTTTGAAGTTATGCATTTTTAAGATCCACCAGTAAAGTTTGTCGTCAAGTACTTTTAGTAAAAAAATTATTCGAACACGCCTACTCTGTTATTATGAATCATTAGAAAGGTATTTCACTTGACCCATATATTTCATCTTTTTGTACTGTAAATTTTAAATGTTTTTGTATCAACCTACAGCCTAAATATATAAATATAATAGAATCTGAAGCGAGATGATGTATCAAATATTTTTCTTTTATACGTTTTCGAGACAGAATTGTCGACACAAACACGCCTGAACCTAAAGAGGTGTACTCGACTTTCTCTTTTCGATGAAGTTATTGCCTATTTTGGGGAATTTTTCCCAAAAAACTGTCACCGGGGGCAGAGCTGCAAATTGATGCTTTAAGAAGATAAATCTTTTATCTTTCTTTGGAATTTTTTTCGGCGGAATTTATGCTTATGCGCAAAAAAGATCCACGAGAATTTGCACTTACCACAATCGACTGTTTTTGTGAAAATTTTTCTATAATTTAAAAGTTTACAAATATCTCGAAGCTCAATTGAATAATTTAAGTAAAAACACACACATAAGATGCATAAAATCCTAAATTAGGCACATTTATTAAACTTTTAAAGCCCATAGAAACAGATGTAAACAATTCAAATTTACTAACTTCGCCTTTTTTACCTTCTATAACAAAGAGTTCTATTTCTTTTGTTTAATTTCAACTGGGTTTCCGCCTGCATGTATATATAAACAATAAGGTTTGGAAGAGTGGAATGATTAAAATAATGTTGGAAACAAACGAAAAACAATGTACAAATTAAAAACATATTTCAAACAAAACAATGAGTGTCACTGATACATTTCTGAACAGATTTAAAAATAGCAATCTATTTCCAAAGAGTAATGTGTCAATATTTATGTCAACATCATGTTGAACTATTTAGTGAATGTATTTTCAAACAGCTATATGTCAATATTTATGATAACATCATGTTGAACTACTGAGTGGATGGAATCAAGTATGATCTGACTAAGGGACAACTATCAATTCCGATAGATTTTTCGTTTTGATAAAGAATGTGATTGTTCTTTTTTTTCCTAGAATTTTACCCATGAAAACTTAATTTTGTCAACCATTTTCAAAATTGCAGTTATAAACCATCCAATTACATTTGTACATGTAGGTCACATGTTCAGAAATGAAAAATCGGCATTGGAACCTCAAAGCATACACGTGAAGCTGCGATACAGTGCATTTTCGTAAGATTGATAAGACTCATATAAAATGACCCTGTTGCGTAATTTAATGAAGGAATTTTTGTCATTATCATTTGTTTCCCATGACTTTGTGAGATATGAAGATTTGTTCACCCTAGAGAAGTCATGTTTCTCAAGGGCATTGTCCAAGGAATATCTGTCTTGATTATTCGTTTAGAACAAGGTAAACACGTTATTGACAAAGCTATCCTGTTTAAAAGCGTTAAATGTTATATATAAGCCGAACGTATCTTAGCGAAATGTGGACTCAGTGTGGAGAGGGGATCACGGTTTAATGTCACTTTGAATGGTCTCGACCAATAGAATATTTATTTAACTATCAAAATTCAGATCACTTTGGAATATCATAGATGAAGTTCTAAAGTATATAAAAAATACCAAACATTTTTCTCTGCATTGTCAAACTTACCTCTGTAAACAAAACATGTGATTAAAAATATTTCTATATAATGGCAATAATTGAATTATCTTGATGAATAAATACTGTTGTGTAATGTTATTTATAACGATTCAATGGATTTTAATGAAAGAATACGAATTATAAGCAAAACTTACCATTATTGTGTAGTTTACATCCTTTCCATTAACTTACATTCTGTATATATCCCAGAATTATGAGAAACGCACAAACTTATTAATTTTGAAGTTATATCTACACTAGACACGATTTCCGCATTTGATAATTACACAATGACAATTCGGTGTGTTTGTTTTTATTTATATTGTCTCATTAGTTAATGTGTATAATTCTTTATGTTTTGGAGAAGACGTTACTAAGTTGTAAAACTTGTGTCTGATCCATTTGTATTTTGAATCAAATATGTTTACAGCACATTGACTTAAGTGTGTAGATTAAGGTAATATCTTTGGTCAGCTTGCTTGCTAGCTGAACCATGAAATCATTATTAGCTAGACGGACTTAAGTGTGTAGATTAAGGTAATATCTTTGGTCAGCTTGCTTGCTAGCCGAACCATGAAATAATTATTAGCTGGACTGGAAGAAAGCCCTAGACAATGACAAATACCTAGCAGTAATTTTAATGGACCTTAGTAAAGCTTTCGACTGCTTACCTCATGATTTGTTACTCATGAAGTTGAAACACTATGGCCTGAGTGAATCTGCTCTCCAATTACTAGGTAGTTACCTGACTGGTAGAAAACAATGTGTCAAAATTGGTCAAAGTATTAGTCAAATGCTTGACATTTATAAAGGTGTACCACAGGGCTCTATACTAGGCCCAGTTTTATTTAATATTTTTATAAACGATATTTTTCTCTTTGTAAAAAACTGTGACTTGTATAATTATGCAGATGACAATGTTCTTCTTTGGCATTAGTTATTAAAGCCTTGGAGAAAGACAGTGGCTCACTAATTTCATGGTTCTCTCAAAATAAAATGCAGGCTAATCCAGAAAAATTTCAAGCCATAGCGGTTGGCAGCATAACACATTAAAACAACATAGTCTTCAACTTAAAATGGAAACAACATCAAATGCGATGATGAAGTAAAACTACTTGGAGTAACCATTGATTTTAAGCTCGACTTTAATCAACACATATCTAACATCTGTAAAAAAGCAGCCAGACAGTTAAACGTTCTGAAAAGAATTGGATCACACTTGAACAAACTGGCAAAAATGACAATTTACCATTCTTTCATCATGTCAAACCTAAGTTACTGTCCACTCACATGGCATTTTTGTAGCTAGCGCAACACAAAAAAAATTGAAAAACTGCAAGAACGAGCGCTCAGATTCATCTACAATGACTACAATAACTCATATGAACAATTACTTGAACAATCTAAACTACCAACACTTAAAATCAGACGCATGAGAACCATGGCATTAGAAACCTACAAAATTTTAACAAAATCCAGTCCAGAGTTCTTACACAATATATTAAATTTTAAAGATAACTCATATAATTTTAGATATAAACTCAGTTGATTTACCACAACCTAGAACTACAAGGTATGGCAAAAGGAGTTTTAGCTTTAAGGCAGCAAAGTTGTGGAACTCCCTGCCTAACCATGCAAGGAGCCTCTCAACTTTGTGCTTATAATTTGTTATTTGTTTTTAAATATCAAGTCGGTTAAGAGCTCTACAGAGCTCATGTTTACCTTGTTGAATTGTACATATCATGCCCGACTCTAAATAAAATTTACTTACTTACTTACTAGCTAAGGTACTACCTTCTTTTGGGTGGAGTCGATAGTTAAGCAGGGAACCAATCAAAAGTAGGAACAATATATAAATACTGTGAAAACAGTTTTACAAGTTAGTTCAAAAATATGTTTTCAGGTTGTAAGTGAGTTTGATTTTTCGATGTTCATTGATAAAAGATTGTTTACATGTGTAATTTTATATAACAATCTGGTTTACTTTTCATATCCTTATCATATATGTAAGGAAATTAAGCAATGAAATTGACAAATCAAACACACCTACAACAAGTTTGTAAATGAGCTTATAATTAACCCTATATTTTAAATTTAGATCGAAAACATATTTCTTAACTGGTTTCACAATGTTTATGCACTGTCCTTACTTTTGATTGGTTCTCTACTTAACTATAATAGTTGACTCCGCCCAAATGAAAGTGGTACCTTAGCTAATAATGATTTCACGGTTCAGCTAGCAAGCAAACTTACCAAAGACATTACCTTTACCTACACACTCAAGTCATTGTGCTGTAAGCTAAACTATCATAGGTCTATTGATAGCACATATCATTGCTAAATCGATATTACAATTTATTACGGTAACTTTCGTACCAAAATTTAAAACAAGAAAAAAGACGACCTTTTCTCTCATACCTTTGATTTCCGTTACGTGAAGACTGTGTTTCGTTGGCTCTATTTATATAACGTGTGCACTTTGTAGTACGGTTGATATGCTCGTGTTTATAAAGCAGGACAAGAATGCAAAGGACAGTTTCTAAACTTGTATGCTTATGATATTAACGTTTGGTGTGAAATACAAATTTTTATTCAATTCCTACAAGTACAAACATACTGTTCCTACAAGTACACACATACAATTGCTACAAGTACAAACAAACAATTACTACAAGTACACACATACAATTCCTACAAGTACAAACATTTAATTCCTGCAAGTACAAACATACAATTCATACAAGTACAAACATACAATTCCTACAAGTACAAACATACAATTCCTACAAGTACAATCATACAATTCCTACAAGTACATTATACTATTCCTACAAGTACAAACATACAATTCCTACACGTACAAACATATAATTCCTACAAGTACGAACATACAATTCCTACAAGTACAAACATACAATTCCTACAAGTACAAACATACTATTCCTACAAGTACAAACATACAATTCCTACAAGTACAAACATACAATTCCTACAAGTACAAACATACAATTCCTACACGTACAAACATACAATTCCTACAAACATACAATTCCTCCCCATTTCCATTCTCAATTTTAATTCCTACAAGTACAAACATACAATTCCTACAAGTACAAACATACTATTCCTACAAGTACAAACATACAATTCCTACAAGAACAATTATACAATTCCTACAAGTACAAACATACAATTCCTACAAACATACAATTCCTACAAGTACAATCATACAATTCCTACAAGTACAAACATACAATTCCTACAAGTACAAACATACAATTCCTACACGTACAATCATACAATTCCTACAAGTACAAACATACTATTCCTACAAGTACAAACATACAATTCCTACAAGTTTAATCATACAATTCCTACAAGTACAAACATACAATTCCTACAAACATACAATTCCTACAAGTACAAACATACAATTCCTACAATTACAAACATACAGTTCCTACAAGTACAAACATACAATTCCTACAAGTACAAACATACTATTCTTACAAGTACAAACATACAATCCTACAAACATACAATTCCTCCCCATTTCCATTCTCAATTTTTATTCCTACAATTACAAACATACAATTCCTACAAGTACAAACATACAATTCCTACAAGTACAAACATACTATTCCTACAAGTACAAACATACAATTCCTATAAGTACAAACATACTATTCCTACAAGTACAAACATACAATTCCTACAAGTACAAACATACAATTCCTACAAGTACAAACATACAATTCCTACACGTACAATCATACAATTCCTACAAGTACAAACAAACAATTCTTACAAGTATAATCATACAATTCCTACAAGTACAAACATACAATTCCTACAAACATACAATTCCTACAAGTACAAACATACAATTCCTACAATTACAAACATACAATTCCTACAAGTACAAACATACAATTCCTACAAGTAAAAAACATACTATTCCTACAAGTACAAACATACAATTCCTACAAACATACAATTCCTACCAGTACAAACATACAATTCCTCCCCATTTCCATTCTCAATTTAAATTCCTACAATTACAAACATACAATTCCTACAAGTACAAACATACAAAGTACAAACATACAATTCCTACAAACATATAATTCCTACAAGTACAATCATACAATTCCTACAAGTACAAACATACAATTCCTACAAGTACAAACATACAATTCCTACAAGTACAAACATACAATTCCTACAAGTACAAACATACTATTCATACAAGTACAAACATACTATTCCTAGAAGTACAAACATACAATTCCTACAAGTACAATCATACAATTCCTACAAGTACAAACATACAATTCCTACAAACATACAATTCCTACAAGTACAATCATACAATTCCTACAAGTACAAACATACTACTCCTACAAGTACAAACATACAATTCCTACAAGTATAATCATACAATTCCTACAAGTACAAACATACAATTCCTACAAGTACAATCATTCAATTCCTACAAGTACAAACATACAATTCCTACAAGTACAAACATACTATTCCTACAAGTACAAACATACAATTCCTACAAGTACAAACATACTTCCTCAACAAATCTCTTCAACGGTGATATAAATTTCCACCACTTTCTGATACCATTTTTTTGTAAAACAAAATGCATTAATTAAAACATTCATTAAAATCTTAGAGTCTCTATAGACTTATTGTTAAAGCTTAAAATATCTCTAGTGTTGCTAAATCATCAACAAAGTTGACATTAATTCGCCTATACACTGTGTATATAGTTTAAAATCAAGACTGGTGTTTCTTTTGTCTTTTCTGCACCTTCCTGTACCTTTGGATAAATATATGTGATGTTACGCCACCGATATTAGAGCGATTGCATATTTTGATAGCAGCAGGCTAAGTACGTTAAGCGTATTTTCGGTAACTCCGAGGAATATTTTATTAATTATATGAACATTATATAAAAAAAAATAATGAGTTTTATAATTCATAACGACAAATATAAGGTTGATGTGAAAAGTTTAAACACAGTGAGTTTTGTTTTTTAATTTATAAATAATAAATATTTAGCTATTTTCAGTATACAATGAATAAAATAAAAAAATAATAATTTTTTATGATTCACCCAAAGTAGATTTTATTCAAGATTTTTTTGTGAGATATCAAACATTTTATGTATTAGGTTTTGCTGGAGGGCAAATCTTAGATCTAAACATACCCAACAACAACAAAACTAAGGCACTCTTTTGATTCCGCTAAACTTGCCGACCAACATTGTTGTGATAATACTGCATTTAAGGTTTTTTTTTTTTTGAAACAATATAACATTGGTAATGTTAAGCATGGATAGGAGCTAGTTTCAATATAAAAAAGGCTTCTGTTTATGAACCTACTGTCTTAACTTCAATAAGACCGCAACCCACCATGGTTGATCTTCAGTATGCTGCCAAAGAATTCAATACAATTTGAAGAGAATAGAGCAGAGAAATTGGTAAAAAACAACATATCATTCATATAAATTTTATCATTAGCGAGAGAAATGTCTGTCTAAACGTGTATAACTTCAAGGCAAGAGAAATGTCTGCCTAAACGTGTATAACTTCAAGGCGAGAGAAATGTCTGTCTAAACGTGTATAACTTCAAGGCGAGAGAAATGTCTGTCTAAACGTGTATAACAGTCCAATAAACATAGAATGTATAATCAGCCTTATCAAATTCAGTGTTTTCATTTGAGCGTAGAACAATAACATCTAGAAGAAGATACTACAGTACATGTATATGATATCATTTATTTGAACAATTGACTAACAAAGTACTTGCTGTAGGCTCAAGTGGGTCTGTAGTTTCTATCATGACAGATAAAGACCTCAAGTTGTTCATTAAAACATTTTCCTTACAATATTTTCAAAACCGACAAAACAAAAAATATAACAAACATACAAAATGAGGCCAAATTAAAATTCACAGACAAATATTGTTCTCATTCTCTAAATAATCTGCATTATATATATATATATATATATATATATATATATATATATATACACGTATTTATAATATCGATCGATTGTATTTTATGTGGTTTGGATATGGACGAGGACAAACATCCTTACAATAGCTAGGAATATCAAATATCGAGGTTTCTGGCTGTTGTATTTTATAACTTGCTTGGTTAAATGTTAGAGTATGAATCAAATCACCAACAAACGACTTTTCGTGGTACTGACAAAGAACATTTTCGTCCGTAACGTAAAGTTCGTCTGTAAAAATATGTCCTGGTTCCGCCCAGCCATGGCAATTCTTTCCTTCAAATACTTTATCGCCGGTATACGAGGAATTCGACAACCAAGTTGGTTTAAGAACAGTGCAACCTTCTTTTTCGCCACACAGAATACAACATGTCTTTGCCTCTGGATAGATTACATACATGTTACTATGGTTAGTAAATAAAAGACTACACGGAGCCTGTGGGTCATGGTCACTAAGCTTTTGTCCTCCACAAAAATTATTTTTCTGTCCACGAAGATGGTCGTACCTAGCTCTTCCATTTGGAAAGTCATAATACCACGTTCCATTGTTGTGGGAATATTTCACTATAGCGAAAGATATGTCCTCTACAAAATCTACCGAGAATGCTGAAGGCCATATGGGTGGTTTTGTTGGTATACTGGCACAAGTTATGAGTATTGATGATATAACAATCACTAGTAAGGCCCACATTGTCTGTAAAAAGAACGAAATCTATGACACAAAATATACAGTTATTCAGATGGGCACAAAATTTAGTCTGGTGGTCATAATTAACGGTCGAAGACAATGTAACATTTGGGATAAGGTTAAAAAAATCTGACCGCAAAATATTCTGATCTATTTGTAAAATATCATCAAAAGATGTACAAATTCTTATTTGAAGCGAAGATATACATTTTTGCTGTAATTATATATATATATATATATACTAACAGCTTATTTCAGCTACATTTGTTTAAGTCAATTTCTGTCCTGGAGTGTGAATCCAATGAAATATGTCAGCATGTATAAAATGTACCATCACTATAGTTGTATAGTTTCTACTCATAAAACCAATTCAACTATATTCACCAAATACAGTACACCCAAATGAGATTTAAAAAATAAATTATTTGATTTTTGGTGTGTGTTTTGGGTTTTTTCAATTGCTTGCAGAAAGTGTGCGTGAATGAAATATCTACTTGTGATTAAATGATTCAGTTTAATCAACATCTACAAAGCTTGAATGTGAAAGTCCTAGTAATAAACTTCTGGTAATATCATCATTAGCCTGGGCGAGTTGAAAATTTTAGAAAGCAGTTATATCATAGTTGTTGAAAAATCAAGTTGCACTGCACACTTTGGGTGGCCCTACTTTACCAGAACGATGTCAGAATGTTGCACGTAGTTTGCATTTTAAATTGTATTTCAATGAATTAACCAAACGAAAGTATACGTAAAGCTTACCACTAGTTTACTTCTCAGTCAAGAAATAAGACATCTGATTATGAACAATAATTCTTATAATAATACTTTATGTAAGTAGTTCAAGGCACACGTGAATTACTAATGGCCATGTGACCTTATCAATTATCAGACAATTTATAAATAAGAGTGAAATACACTTGGATAAGCTGCTTTAAAATCATTATTATCATTATTTGTCAGAGTTTTATGTACTAGTACTTATATTGTCTAATTTTACAATAAAGTATAATATAAGCACATGTAATATCGCCAGCTCACGATATACACTCTTATACTCTTGTACTGTATATCATTCAAAATTTTCATTTATATGTAAATATTACGTGTTGTTCATAACTTTATCATTTGTGTTTTCTGTTATTTCAAAATATATTGATTTATCATATACTTGTATATAAAATATTACTAAAATTTAACAGTTCAATAACATTTAAAAATATTAAAAGGCTATGAAAGGATTACTAGGTTTATTGATCAGATTCCTAAGAATTTCCTCAGCGGGCTGATAAAGGAACCTTTATTGACTGCTTCCGGAATGTTATCACTAAACTGGTCCGCCGTTCCATCTATATCTTCGCACCGAAGTCAGTGTAGCGATAAGTGAACACAACAGGGGTCCAGTTTATGTTATCACATGCCTTTCCGTTAATTTCCGTGACGTTTATCACATGCAACTTCGTGCATTTCCGGAAAATTGTTCGAAAACGACAACACAGTGCGGAAAACCGCAAGTGATTTAAGACTTTTCACAAAATGGTTGAGGAGCAAATTTCAAACTAAGAACATGATAATTGTTGTGACCAGATAAATAAAATGCTTGTAGTATCAATAAAAACAATTAAAGTTGACATTTGTATTTGGTTGTCTGTAAATTATTATCTACAAATTCATGGAAAGACAAAATTTTAATTAATAGTTCTTGTCTGTATTTCTTCTGTTGAAGTATATGATAAAAAGATAATTACATGTCATTTATCATATCTTACCCTTTATCGGCCCTCGTTCATGATATCAGACCTCGAGCCTGCGGCTCTTGGGCTGATATCATGACCTAGGGCCGATAAAGGGTCTAAACTTATTGTTCATTTAAGGAACGACTGTAATATATTTTCTGTCTATGAAGAAATAACATCAAAAGTGTGCACCACATTTTTGATGTTATTTCGAATAGACAGAAAACATATTACAGTCATTCCTTATAATCTAATTCTAAATTCCATTTTTAAGGAGTAAATCATGAAAAAACGTTGCTGACGTCACGGTCACATGACAAAATTACGTCCATGAGCTGATAGACAAAAAACTTTCAGCCAATCAGAAGACGTGTTACATTCAAAATTAAATTATGATAATATTATTCATGTAATCTCTACAAAGAGGAAATAAAGAAATAAATGAATGAACGAATGATAGAATTTGGTACTAATATTATTTCTAATTATGAAAAAAATTCTGAATGATTATCAAAGTTTTCTTACATCTTTGGTACAATGCACACATATTATTTTCTGATAAATAAATAATCTTAGGACGATAACTTTGAGCAACATGAATGTATCAAAGCAAAACGTCATGGTTTCACTTTGGTAGTTTATTGTTTTTAGCATAAATCAGATCGTTGTTTTTCTCGTTTGAATTGTTTCACATTTTGCCATGCAAGGGCCTATTATGGCTTACCATACGGTACATGGGTTTTGATCATTATTGAATATATTTTGTAGTTGTCTCATTGGTAGTCATACCACCTCCCTTTATTTTTATATTATACTTATTCTCCAGGAACGTCCAGAGTCAAAAGTTGGAACAGTCAGAGAAGAATAAAACATGACAAACTATAGGACTCAAAGCGGTCTAAAATGAGTAGCCTGTTATCTTTGTTTACAGGACATGATTCCAATTTCGGTTTGTGTAAAACGTTTAAAAAACGATCATCTGATCTTAAAAGGGAGAGGTCAAATTATTAACATGTAAGTTTTCAAAAAAATATGCCAACTATCTGTTCATGCCAAAATTTGGAAACTTCTCTCAACCTATGATTTGTTAATATGATAAGGTAACAGTATTGCATAACGCTAAACGTGACCAGACACGAGTCGACTTGGACATCACAAATGGATGAGATAAAGCAGACATAAGTGTTCACAATTCACAATGTTTCTGTCTCAATGATTAAAAAAGTATAAATTCAGTCGCTTCAAATCAAGTTAAAGTTGATATAAGGTGATTGTATATGATAGGTAAAGAACTTATATATGTTAATTCTCCAAAAGGTATTTGACTAAAAATATAGCTAACTTCCCGTGTATTTATTTCATCGCTCGTAGGGTCAAATGTCGAACGTTCATTGAATAAAATTGAGAATGGGGAATGCGTCAAAGAAAAAACAACCCAACCAAAGAGCAGAAAACAGCCCAAGGCCACCAATGGGTCTTCAACACATCGAGAAAATACCGCACCCGGAGTCGGACCTCAGCTGGCTCCTAAACAATAATGTATACTAGTTCAGCGAAAATGGTCGTCACACTAAACTCCGAAACATATGTAAATGAACCAAAATTAAAAAAAACATACAAGACTAACAAAGGCAAGGTTCCTGACTTTGGACAGGCGCAAAAATTGCGGGGTTAAACATGTTTTGTGAGATCTCAACCATCCCCCTATACCTCTAGCCAATGTGGAATAAACAAACACACAGCAATACGCACAGTAAAATTCAGTCTAACACAAAGTAACAAAGGACTTCTAACAGTTAGGGTAGTGAAATGCCAGCCCTAGACCTCAATTAAACTGAGTGAAAGAATATTGCATGCTGAATTTGTCTAAACAAATAACGTTTAAGAATTCCAACAAGATTGCATGTATCTAGAATTTTAATCAAATTAATTTAATTTGTGCTATACATGCTGCTGAAGACAATGTTGAAACATACTGAAATTTTTACATGTATTGTTTTCGTAACAGTGTGCACTGAAGTTCATCTGGGAAAAAGTTATAAACGCAATTATTTATTTCTGATACATTTTATATTTTTTTTTTAGTTTGGAATGTTCCTATTTTTCTTTACTTAATTTCTAAAACTCTATGAAACAAAAACTATCTAATGTTTCATTGGCAATCATACCACCTCTCCTCATATTTTTTATAAAAATACTCCTGAGTGCATTATTACTTTTTTTTTAAATTTGGAAGATATTTGAGTGATGCAATTAAGACAGCAAGTCAACAGCACTAAAAACCAAGAGAGACATTTATAGACCAAACACAGTCTACAGTACAGTTTAGTTACTTTGTTTTTTTTCTTCTCGATCGTTCATATTGTCCCCTTAATTTCACTTCTCTGATTCTCCCTTACATATAGGTTGGAACAGTTGGTTAAAATGAAGTAATTATTTACATAGGCGACAATGGTAGCCTTTTTGGGTCCTGCGTTTTTACTGTATAAGATCCGTTCATAAAACTGTCAAATTCTGAATTATCAACACCTTTGGGTGTGAATAAAACTGCAAAACACATATGGTGCCGCAGCTTTTTTGATAGAAAATGGCATTTTTTAAGGATACTCTATGGTTCCGGAATTTTTGAATTAGTATGAATGGAGAACACCCCTTGCTTAATTTTGCACAGAACATGTTGCTCGTCACAGAGAGTTTCCGCCAAATTTCTCTCTATTTCTACACCAAAAGCCAACACTCATTTCTCACTATTTCAATTTTGTTTTCTTATTAACAGGGCAGCAGAAAATATATTTACTTCTACCTATTATCTTGGATGTAAAAACTAGGTGGCGCCAGTCATCCTTAATTACTTTCTTTTAACCAGTTTGTTCTACCTGTTATTTAGTCTGATTTTTGGCAGCCACAACAGATTCTTAGCCTCATTTTAATGTTAAATAATAATTACGCATAGATGGTGTTTTTTTTTATCAAGAATTCGTACTTTTGATTGGCTGACAACAGTCACGAAGCATTCCAAAATTATGTTTTATTTCTTAAGATTCATGATTGCATGTGCTTCCTTCAACAACATCTTAACAATGCATAGGATAACAAATGAAATGCCTGATATATAAAATCCTTATTTCATGGTTGTAGCAAATAAATGTCATTATTGAATGTGTAACGATTTTATATGTGTATGCATAATGTTATACCTGAATATATCTGTTCCAGGCTCGAGTCACATATGCTCGAAACAGTTTCTCTGACTTGGGGGACGTCCGATCAGGATTGGCTCTGGGTTGTGACTGTCTTCACATCTAGGGGAAATCCCGGAATTCCCTGGTATGACGTAGCTGCAGCTCTTCCGAATGTAATATATCAAAGCTCATTATTATTGTTCCGATAATAATGTGTTATCCATAACATTCCCTCCTGTTTCTTAGAATTAAACAGTAGTTGACATATGAAATAATGTCACTTTTAGATGCCAAAATAAATCATTATGAAATTTAAATTAAGATGTTGCGACTTTTCGTAACGATGATCACTTTTCCTAATGAAATTCCAAGTAGCTATGGAATGTCACAAAATTGTCACAATAAACTATGTACAATAACTATGTACAAAATATCCACAATGGCTAAATGATGTTATAGACTTCTGCAGCATTCTTGGTTGTAATGCTGGCTATTTCCTCAACACTAAGCAAGAAAATGCCACTTTTTCACATATATCTTTTATCATAAATGGCGAGCCAAATTCTTCCAATTCTGAATGTAGATACGGTGCATCAGTCTCTTATATTATATCATCCAGTTCCATGTCGCACACCAGAGACCTAAATTTGGGATATTTTCGGTGATTTAGAATAAAAGGTGAAATTCCGAATTTGCAGTTTGGAAATGACGTTTTCCATTTCAGATACAACATTTCATCTCTATTAAAACAGTGCCGGTGTAATTTAAATTGTTTTGGCAGTAACCGAATAAGTGAATTCAAACATACATCATCAGTACGTGCATCTCCTCTGCAATGGATGACAAAAAAAAGTCTCTTTTAACTGCAATTACAATCTGTTTTTCAAAAA